GGGCGTCTCCTCGCCCCCGCCTTTGGCTGGCTGTGCCCTGGGCCGAGGGCGCTGGCAGTGCCACCCTCCCTTGCCCAGGGGCTCTGTGGCTGAGGTTTCAAGGGCATTTTCTCCTTGATGGCATCTGAGCTGCTCCCAACCACTGAGACCTATCAGAGGGATTCAGCCCTGCAGATGCCTGGACTGGCCAGAGCTTCCTCAGACCAGTGCTCGGGTCATGCTCCGGGCATCAGCCACCAGCTCCCCGGCCACCAGCAACCAGCTGCAGTCCCTGGCCTGGCCAGACAGGCCCGAGCTCAGTGGGGAGCTGTGGGGCAGCCCTTCTCTGCTGGGTTTATTCCTGTCTCTGAACTCACAGGCCTTCACGCTGGTTCCTGCAGCTGGCCCTTCCCTGCTCGGTGGCTGCTGCAAGGTCACCACCCTCCCTCTCACCCTATCCGTTCCTCTCTAGGTTTGTGCTGCTGCGTTCTCCCCTGCCGACTGAAAGGGTGTTTGATGTTTACAGGGAGCTGGATGGTCTGAAGAGAGGAGCTGTGGGGCTCTGCAAGGAGCCCAGGCGCTACCAGTGAGGCAGCATCATGCTGGCTCCGAAGAAAGGCCTGCTGTGCAACCTCAACCACATCCACCTGCAGCACATCTCCCTGGGGCTGCACCTCTCCCGGCACCCAGAGCTCCAAGAGACCTCTGCCTCCATGGGTGGAGGAGACCAGACCAGTTGCAGTGACTGCCCGAGCTGTGAGCAAGTGGATGCTAATTCCAACAATCCCTCCTTGAAATGCCGGTGTTGCGAGTCCCACACTCAGCAGCTGGTTACGTTGGGTCTCCAGAACCAGGCAGCTCAGGAAGATTTCCCCTGCCCGCATATTGGGGAGGAGGTGGCTTCCCCTTGTGATCCCCCTTGTGATCTAGCTTCCTCCTCCTCCTCCTCCGTCAGTAGCTGCTCAGATTTCAGCTTGGATGACTCCCCAGTTTCTGTGTATTGCAAGGTCCTCTCCAGAGAAGAGTCCCAATCTCCTGAAAATCAGCCCAACGTCATTCCCATAGAAGACACCCGGGATGGACAGTTGTTGGCTGACCAAAGTAGGACATGTGATGGAAGAGATGCCAACCTCAACCCCCCAGTGCTCCAGAGATTGGACACCCTGGCTGGAGAAAGCCCAGACAGCCTCTGCAGCAGCACCTCACTTGACTCCCAGTGCGATGAGACCTCTCCCAGTGTGGCAGCGCAGGAGACCATCGGCATCTGTGCAAATCTAGACCCTAACTGCAACTCCCTCCCCAACCCTGATGCTCCATCTCTGGCACCGCCTGTGCCAGGACGGGAGGATCCTGGTCTGAGCAGTGCTCCTGAGCCACGGCCCCGGGCTGGCAGCGTCCCCCCGCCTGTGCCGCCCCGGCCCCGGAGATGGCTGCAGGTTCTCAATGCACACAGAGCAGAGCAGCCACTCCTGCCCGTGCAGCCAGCGGAGCCGGAGCCCAGCTCAGGTGACCTCTGCAGAGACACAGGCAAGAAGACCATCACATCATTCCATGAGCTTGCCCAGAAGAGGAAGAGGAATGCTGCTGGGCCTGCCCTTGCCCAGGCCAGGGCTGACCGGAGTGACTGGCTGATTGTATTCTCGCCTGACACAGAGCTGCCACCCCCCAGTGAGCTGCTCTCCAGCATCACGGGCCAGGAGCCAGCCCGGCCCCAGCTCCAGCACGACTGGCCGGTGAAACCGCCTAGCTCCAGGCAGAGAGAGGTGACCACATTCAAGGAGCTGCGGTACCGCAGTGCCTCCAACAAGCCCAAGGGCCCGCCAGCTGGCAAGCAGTCAGAGCCGGAGGCATCTCAGCACCCATCCGCACCCCTTGAGATGGCCGTAGGCAGTGACAGCTCAGGCTGGATGCCACCCATGCCTCTGGGTGTACACTTGCTGGCACCTATGGAAAGCCACCAGCCAAAGAGGAGAAGATCCAGACTGGGACTGCAGCCCATTGCAGAAGGACGGCTGGGGGACACAGATGAAGGGGGGCTGCCACCGCAAAGCTGCCTCCCAGGAGAGAAGGGCTTGGGCTCTGGTTGTGATAAAGATGTCCTGGTTTGGAGGCTCAGGGGACCTCATGGGAACCCTTGGGTGCCAGGGACGGTCAAGAGAGGAGATCAGACCTGCAAGGAGGGTAAGAGTTTGGGGCCCCTCTTCTGGGCTGGGTGCAGGGGTGTCACCCTTTAAGGACTTGAGTGGGGCAAGGGGAAGCTGCAGGCTTTGGTGTGGCAGCCAT